AGTACAGCATTGTACAGGTGGAGAGTCTGACACTCAGACAAGTTAAAGGACTTTCCCAATATCTCTCTCTCTCTCTCTCTCTCTCTCTCTCTCTCTCTCACACACACACACACACACACACACACACACACACACGAAGTCCCAGAGCTACTGCAACACCTTCTGACTCCAGAGTCAGGCAACTGCACCCCCCTTACTAGCAGCGTGGCCTTGCCCCAGTGGCCTCACCTCCCTGTGCCCCAGTCCCCTCCTCTTCTGAATGGGTGTCAGCTTTGTCACCAAGGTGGCAGTGAAGCTTCAAGGAGACCCTTTCTGAAAATAGGACATGCCTGCTCGTTCATAAGACATCTGCTCATATAGCTGTGACACAAGGTGAAGAGTGGCAAATGCTATAGCAGAGTATCTAGTGAGGTCACCAGATCCCCCGTGGCCTAATGGTTGAAAGCATTATGGTTAAAAGCATGGAAGTTTGCATAACACTTGGATTCAAATCCCGGCTGTGCGAGTTGAATAGACATTTCCCCAGAGAAGGTATGCAAATGAACAAGAAGCACATGAGAAGATGCTCAATAGCAATTGTCCTCAGGAGAATGCAATACAAAACCCTGATGAAATGTCACCTAAGGCCCATAGGATAGCTAAAGCTGGAAAGACAGAAAGGGGTGTTGGCAAGAACACCTGGTAGAGAAATGGAAACCTGCCTACTTGGCAGGTGAAGTTGTAAGCTGGTAGGGCCACTTTGGAAGAACGGTTGGATATGTCCTAAAAAGTTAACCATGGAGTTACCAACAATTTCCCTCATGTGTATAATACAAAAAGAATTGAAAAATACACCCCAACAAAAACTGATACACAAATGTTTGTAGCTGCATTATTCATAATAGTCAAAAGGTAGAAACAACCTAAATGTCCATCAATTGATGTGGTATATCCATACAATGAAACATTATTCAGCATAAAAAAGGATTTGAGGTTGGAATACATGCTATAGCGTGCAGTAGCCTTGAAAATGAGATGTTGAGGTCTACATGTTGTATGACCCTATTTATATGAAATACAATTTGCCCCTACAATAGGCACTTTTATGGAGAAAGAACATAGACTAGTAGTTGCCTAGGTCTGGTGGGTTTGGGGGAGATAGGGAGCAATTGCTAAGGGATACAGTGCTTCTTTTGGGGATGATGAAAATGTTATGAAATTAGCTAGTAGTGATGGTTGTAAAACTATGAATGTACTAAAACTACTGAATTGTATACTTTAAAAAGGAGAATTGAATTGGGATGGGAGTTATCTATCTATATAAAAGCCTAAGCGACCATCGCAACTGAATGGATGACCAAACAGGCTGTGTGGGGCGACCAGGCTGGCAGGGGGGTTAGTGAGTGGTTAGGAGCCAGCGGTCCAGGATTGTGAGAGGGATGCCTGACTGACAGTTTAGGCCTGATCCCCAGGATTGGGCCTAAACTGGCAGTTGGACATCTCCCGAGGGGTCCTGGATTGTAGAGGGTATAGGCTGGGCTGAAGGGACCCTCCCCCCGCCCCCCGCCATACATGAATTTCATGCACCGGGCCTCTAGTATGTCAATAAAGCAGTTATTAAAAAAAAATCAGGATGTGCTGTTGATGTTGAGTGTTGGTGTCATCCCCTGTAATCAAGGCTCATTACAATGTCTAGCTCAAAGAGCAATATAAGGATTAAATGGCAGACTGTAGGTAAAACTCTTAGTCCATGCTTGATAATAGATAGTGATGATGTTAATGTTTTTCTTTAAAGATGTGGCCTTTCTCTTGTCCATCCTGAAGCATAGGGTCAGTGGGGCTTTCAGTGAAATAAGTTGGGGATTCATGATGACTTGGGACGCATGAAAATGGACCCTCTCTCTAACACCCTCAAATAGGTTGTGCCTCTGATGGTACGGCCTTATGGCTCTGATAGCTGTTATTTATTTCTTAACTAATATAACTGAGACCTTGCTCAAGATGTGATCATGAAAAATTACCCTTTTAATGGTGGAGTATTTAATGAGAAACTGGATTATCTAGTGCATAAGTGCCCTTCATACAAATTAGCTTGGCCCTGGGTCCTAATCTAAATTGGGTTCCCTACTTTCCTCTAAATGGCCTAATATTTTCTTATTAATCTCTGCCCTTATTCACCTGATCTGGCTCTGCCTCCGCTTATGAAGCCTCCTCCTTGGCAGAGCTCCGGCCCTGACAAATGTTTCCTGCGGCTGCCTTTGTGTCTGACTCATGGGCAGTTTTTAGACATGACGTGCAGGCTGGAAACTGTTCCATTTTTAAGCTGTTTTTCCAATGAAGTTTTTGTTGTTGTTGTTAATCCTCATGTGAGGATAATTGTCCATTGATTTTTAGAGAGAGTGGAAGGGCGGTAGGGAGGGAAGGGGAGAGAGAGACAGAGACAGAGAGAGAAACACAGAGAGAAAGAGAGGGAGAGAAACATTGATGTGAGACATACACATTGATCAGTTGCCTCCCAATCGAATTTGCAACCCAGATATGTGCCCTGGATTGGGAATCGAATCTCTGACCCTTGGGTGCTCAGGCTGATGCTCTACCCACTGAACTACACTGACCAGAGCTTTCCAATGGAGTTTTAATGCTGCCAGTGTACTGAGTATCAACTGTTTGGGGCCAGGCAAAAGATGGGGCTTTATAGGAAGTTGGGAAGATGAGAAAAATTTCATCATAGTGACTAAGAGAAAGGGCTTGAAAACACTGAACACAAGCAAAACCACAGGTGTGGGCTCCAACATCAAATAGGTCTGGATTCAGGTCCCACTTAGTGAATTTGTACAAGTTGCTTAATCTGTAAAACCTGAATAATCGTACCCACCTCTAAGTTTTTTTTCTGGGACTAAACAAGTTGGTGCATATATATTGTTCATTAGATTCCACATGTATCTGAGATAATGTGATACTTGTCTTTCTCTGACTGGCTTACTTAGATTCCACATGTAACTGAGATGTGATACTTGTCTTTCTCTGACTGGCTTATTTCACTTAGCATAGTACTCTCCAGGTCCATTGATGCTGTCTTAAAGGGTAAGAGACAGGGGGAGGTGACCTGTAATACCACGGGCCCTGTTGTTTAGCTAGATGTCCATAGAGGGTATATCATGGCAAATGTTCTCCTCTTTGTTCGTAGCTTCAGTCTCTGACATCTGCCCTCACTGAAACCCTGGAGACTTAATTTTTACATTGATTACAATTTCTCACTAATCATTCATGTGTTATATTTGCTTTATGGAATATTATTCAAAGGCTAGAATATGCTAGGAGTCAGCGAAGATGCAGTGGGAAAAACACCAACTGGGGGTTGGGGATCATAGGAGGCCTGGCCTGCAGACCTTCCTCCTTTGTGCTCTTCTGCCCTCATAGGGAATCTTCCACATGCTACTTTTACTGGGCCTCCAAACTGGTGACAGCTACCTGTGATAGAAAACTTAACACCTGAATACATGCTTTGCGCTACCATCTCATTTAAGTTACTATTCATAACAACTCTGGAAATAGAAATGTAATCTTCATGCAACAGGCAAGGAAATTGAGGCTCAGCAGATAGGTTAGTTGGTTTGCAAGGGATAGAATCATGGTTTAAATGAGGATGTCTGACTCTAGAGTGTGTACCTTCTTACATACCCAGCACAATGCATTTTTACTTGCAGTCACCAGAAACTTGAGCTTCCATGGGCATAGACTTTGTCTCATTTACTGGTACCTGTTGTCAGTGAGTAATAGCATCTGGCACAAAGATGCTCAGTGAGAGATGAATGAATGAAATGCAAGTCATGTTTTGTCTATTGAAAAGTATTGTACAATGGTTAGCTATTGCTGCTGTGTGTGGGTTTTTCCCCTATTTTAAGCATTTTCTCAAATAATTTTCAACCCAGCCTTATGGAAATGCCTTAGTTTTGCACATCATATGGATACATAGAGCGAAAAGGGCTGAGTTATCATTAATGCCTTCAGCTCTAAGTGTCTGACTGTTGAGGGAAGGCATGAGAGAGGGGTATTAGAAGTTGAAGTTGATGATGTTTCAGGCGATAAAGAGCAGTTTGCAATGCCTTAAACTGTGATTAGTTTGATGAGGTTAGAATTTTGAATTCCTATGTAGTCATATTTTTTCTGACTATGTAAACTTGGATAGGCTACCTGGATTCTCTGACCTTCATCTTGATCATCTGGGAAATGGATATGGTTGGCTTATTGTGAAGAATGGGGATACAGTTTATAAAACATGTTATATGCATAAGTACTCAGTTCACAGTTACTTTACTGCTCATATTTTATGTGGATATGTTTGAACTTCTGGCTGATGTGTCTTAGCAAAATATTATGTTAATAATAGTATGTTATTGGGAAAGCCTGTTGGAAGCCTGTAGACTTCCACACTACTTCCATATCAAGTAGTGTGGAAGTCTATTTTAGTACACACATGGGTTGGCAGAAGAGAGATTGTAAAACCATTTTTTTTATAATTGTCGTGGGTCATTACTTGATACAAAGCAATTACTCTGGAGTCTCACTATAAAACAACCCATGGAATTGGGTATAAGGAGGATCTTGGATTCTGGCCAAAGTCATATTAAATGCTAGAAATTCTATCGGAGCTCAGTGCTAAGAATGTCAGTGGGTGATTATCCTTTATTGAAAACCTAATGTGTAGCAAACACTGCATTGGGTACTTTACACATGTTGCCTGATATATTTACCTCGATGCCCTTTTGGGGTTGGTTATTCTTAACTCCTTTTTTTCTGTCTGAGAAAACAAAGGCTGAGAGAGCAGAAGCAGTTTGCCCCAGGGTTTGAAAGGGGAGCCAAAATTTGCATCCAGGAGTACTGCCCTGTTTTTTTCTATTTGGTCTACTGTTTGACTTTCCTAGAACACAGCAAGAGAGCCAACTTCGGTGCCTTGGGTATTCAAAGCCAATAGGCCCTGAACGCCTCTGTCTCTGAATCCTGCTTTCCTCTGTTTTTAGGTCAGGATCGCAGCGAAGCCACTCTGATAAAGAGGTTTAAAGGTGAAGGGGTCCGGTACAAGGCCAAACTGATCGGGATCGACGAGGTTTCAGCAGCTCGGGGAGACAAGTTATGTCAAGATTCCATGATGAAGCTCAAGGTGCAGTGCAAACATTTTACTTTAAATATTATGGGTTTAATATGGCTGAGAGAAAGAAATGATTGCACAGTCATTATGGTAAAAATGTTATTTACTCATTTATCGGTAAATTATTTACTCATTTGTTGAGTCACTGATGAATCGCTGCCTTTACTCATTTTGAAGAGATTTCACTCATTCAGCAAAAGTTCATTGAGCACCTCCTATGTGGAAGCATTTTACTTGGCCCTGTTTTATTATTTGATTTTCACATTTTATTCATTTATATCTTATTCATGCAATGCCTGCAAAAAATAAAAGTAAAATCATCAAATTGTATAGTACCTCAGATTTTATAAATTTTCACCACTGTATTTTAATGAAATTTATAGATTTTACTATATGATAAATATGGTAAAAGATTCATCCATAATAATAAAAAGGTAATATGCTAATTAGACCAGGCGTCATTCCGGATGACCTTCCGGACAAAGTTGGGGCTGTGAGGGAAGTCCGGGTCCCGGGTGCTACAGGGAAGCTGGTGCCGGCAATGGGGAGAAGGAAGGCCTACTCCTGCACAAATTTCAGGCATCAGGCCTCTAGTGTTAAGATAAAAGATGATTTATTCATTTTTGTAACTAATATCAACACCCTCAAATACCTAATAATAAGGGGAAATATTTTTTAAGTAATATGTAACCAGATATTGGAATATGGAGATATCATAAAGAGGTTTCTTATTTTAAATGCTTTAAAGAATCTTTTTCATTGAAACGCAAAGACACTGGAAAAAATTTAATAAGCAAAATTTAAAAATTGTCATATTTAAAGGTCTCTTAAAAACATACAAAAAGAAAATTTTTTGTTCCTAGATTGTGGTCTCCAAGTTTTTGTTGTTGTTGTTTTTTAGTAATATAAAATAGTTTTAAAATTAAATGGTTTGGCTCAGTAGATAGAGTGTCGGCCTACGGACCAAAAGGTCCCAGGTTCGATTCAGGTCAAATGATCTGCATTTAATCTATCTTGGTTCCCCTCCTAGATTTTAAGCTTAGCACATGGGATTGCTTGCTATTATCAATATTAGTACTAATGATACTGGTAACATAGTTGCTGAGCTCTCCCTCCACACCTTGCAAAGTGCAGATGTGCATACTCACTTAAATGCTCCAGCATCCTTATGAGGCGAGAAGGGGATTAGTCTCATGTCAGAGTTCTCCTTCACAGCTGAGTCTGGTTGCAGGTGGCCCCACGGGGACTGAAATGTCAACTTGCAAATAATGAAACACGATTGTCATGAATCAAAACCCATTTGATTCATGGGTTTTGAGCTGGGTTGTGAGCTCCTTCCCAGACGGGCCCTGGTCTGGGATCTTGCAGGAGGCAACCAATGGATGTGTTTCTCTCACATCGATGTTTCTCTGTCTTTCCCCCCTCTCTTCCACTCTCTCTAAAAATCAATGGAAAAATATCCTCCAGTGAGGATTTTAAAAAATAATAATAATAAATACATAAAAATAAAATGGTTTAGCAACAACTCTGTAAAATATCTTATGCATTTAAAACATATGACTTTACTGATTATAGAATTCACAAAATGTTATAAAATATTTTCAAAATACAGAAAAGTATAAGGAGGAAAATTGAAATCATCCTCAATCCCACCACACAAAGAAAATTAGTGTCAGCATTTTAAAAGTGTGTGATTTATAATCTCTTTGTATTTTTATATACATTATATGAAATATATACAATGTTTAATATAATTAGAATAACTGTTTATACAATTGTATATTCTGCTTTTTTCTCATCTGATAATAATATGTTATGAGCACTTTTAAAATTATCTTCAAATTGTCACTGAGGATATAGCTTGGTCAGTATAATTTTTTTTAAATGTAAGAAAAAAAGAATTAAAAAAAAAAAAAAGCTGGCCAATGCCTAAAAGTATTAAATGGGACAGTATTTGCAAAACACTTTTCTTTAATATTTGCTTAATAAATCACAGCTGTTATGTGTTTATACTATAAGATTTTCTCAACAGTTTGACATGTATATCTGATGCTAAGTCTCCCTAAAGTATGACTATAGGAATCATCATTTTTAAAACCTTTTAATTTTCTAAACTATGTATCCATTACTTTCTTTTTATTTTTATTTTTTGCTGTCACATAAGCAAACTTTATGTGAATAATTATGTGTCTATTTATTGTAAGGTGTACTAAAAAATAGACATAAAAGACATCCAAATTGTGATTTCACAGGTTATCACCTTGGAAGAGGTTAATGTATCCTTTTTGATAATTAAACGATGTTCTGAGCTTTGAGGGAAGTCCAACAATGAGCCCTCTTTTTCTGCCAAGTTCAAATCTGATTGACAAATAGACAAAGGAATCTGAAAGGATGAATTCTAAATTCCAGCTTTATAACTGATAAATGCTGCTCTGGAAAACATGATGTAGATACACAGGCATAGTGTGTATCCTTGAAAGAGACAGGCTATCCCACTTGATTTATGGGGAATTGGACAACCGCAACCCTCCCTATTCTCCTCATCCCCTTTCCTGCTCCAGAGCAGGACCTGGGCTCACATATGAGATCAGACCAGAATGCAACCTCACTACCAGCAGGCAGCTTGCAGAGAGAACCCAGGAGAGACTGAGCCATGAGTGCTCAGCTTCTCTCCAAACTCCCCAATCAGGTAGAGCCACACCTGCTTCCCACAGAGACCCTAATGCAAGGTGGAGAGAAAGGCCAGGATGTTGATTCTTGCCAAAGTCCCTCCTTACTGAGTTTGAGGCCAGGCAAATAGAGATTTGCTCCTGGAAAATGTTGATTAAAAGACATCAAGATCTCCCATGACCTGGTTCCCACCCAGAGCCACAATCTGCTGATGAGAAAGGATCTGATGCATCCCTCCCCCAAACCCCCGTCTCCAGCATCCTGGTAGAGGCATCTATCACAGAGTGCCTCATTGGCCAGTCGCCTTCATGGAAGCACCAAGGCCAATGTGGACATGAGGCAGGAGTCCACTTATGCTCCCTGAAGGGTCACGTAATGTAGGCTACATTAACTGGATCAGACCTGGTGATGACTACCGACCTTGCGTGTGTGTGTGTGTGTGTGTGTGTGTGTGTGTGTGTTATCTACAATGAAGTGTCCCATCTTTTTTTCTGTTGTTTTTTTTGTGTATTTTTTAAATGTCCCATCCATAAACCTTCATAGCAGAGGGGCTCCCAAAGCCCTGAGAATTTGTCCTACTGAGAATTTGTCCCACACTCCTTTCAGATCTGCTGAACTTGAGGGGTTTTGATTCATGACAATCGTGTTTCATTATTTGCAAGTTGCCAAGAAGAATGTTGACATTTCAGTCCCCGTGGTCTTTCTTGGGGAAACACAGAAACATAAATGATCGAGTCGTCCTTTGGCCACCTGCCCAGGAAAGAGAGAGACAGAGAAGTACAAAATGCCTCTTAGCATTGCAAAAGGGCCCACTTGTTCACGGTAGACCATATGAGCAATGAAAATAATTCTGTCTTTCTTTGCTAGGCTCTCTGAAGCTTGTGCCTTTCCTTGTTGTAGAGTTTTCTCTTGGATGTGAGAGATTTGAGACGGGGTTCACACTGTGAGTCTGAGTGAGCCATCGCCTGTCTACCAACAAATCACTGTCATCATCATCTTTTAATTTTAGGGTCAGCAAAGTACCTCAGTATACATTATCTCTTGATCATGTGAGATTGAGCCTCCCAGTAAGAAATCTAAGGTTCGTGGACATTAAAGGATTTGGTCCAGAACCTTCATTTAACCTTCATTTAGCCCAGAATTCAAATGCAGATTTCAAAAACCTAGTGTTTGACAAAACATAGTGTAAGGCTAAATAATATTCTCATATGTGTGTGTGTGTGTGTGTGTGTGTGTGTGTGTGTGTGTGTGTGTTTAAATTAATTTCAGAGAGGAAGGGAGAGGGAGTGAGAGAAACATCAATGATGAGAGAGAATCACTGATTCACTGATTCCTGCACACCCCCTACCAAGGATCCCACAACCTGAGCATGTGCCCTTGACTGGAATTGAACCCGGGACCCTTCAGTCCTCAGGCCTACACTCTATCCACTGAGCCAAACCAGCGAGGGCAATAAAATTTTCTTTTGATCTGCATTTAATCTATCTTGGTTCCCCTCCTAGATTTTAAGCTTAGCACATGGGATTGCTTGCTATTATCAATATTAGTACTAATGATACTGGTAACATAGTTGCTGAGCTCTCCCTCCACACCTTGCAAAGTGCAGATGTGCATACTCACTTAAATGCTCCAGCATCCTTATGAGGCGAGAAGGGGATTAGTCTCATGTCAGAGTTCTCCTTCACAGCTGAGTCTGGTTGCAGGTGGCCCCACCTACCTATTTTCAGAACATTTTTGACGTACCTGTAGTATATTGTGTAGTCCATTTATTTCATCTGTGCTTCTCCTCACGTCCCTTATAGAGTGTTCTCACAGAAGGAACTCCAATACTGGAATCTGAAAAATCAATGAATTCTCTAGGTCTTGTATGTTCCTTGAGATTTGGGGGTGGTCACCTGACCCTCCAACCTATGTTTCTTCAGATGTGAAATAAGGGAGGTCATTCTTTCAGCCCAGGATTGTCGTATGGGCTATATTATATAGCACATCAGAGAACTTCTACATAGTGGGTGCCCAGGAAAATGTTTGACACCCTAATTTCCAGGTTTCCAGCTGTGACTTCCTAGGTCAGGCAGCTAATCCTAGGCACAGAGCCCGTAAAGGCACCTACTTCCACATCTTTGGACTCTCCAGCCAGAGCTGTCCCGGGACCTCCGTGAGTTCCATGGAGCAGCAGTGAATCATCCTGGGGAGATGAGACCCAGAGGCAGCACGTGCTGTCTGGTGGCGGACGTGCTGGGACTTAGGGCAATTTTTAAGAGTTTGACTCAGGGTCTTGTCTCATAGGAGAAACGTGTTCAATAAATTTGGAATTTTATTTTCCCAAAGACAGCATCACGTGGATAGTCCTTCTTGCTTTCATTTGTCATGTAAAGCGACCGCCAGCGGCCCCAGACAGAAATGCTCCTGGAACATGTATGCCTGTTCTGCCCACCTTCTTTGTGTTCCACCCTATTCTACCAGGGCGTTGGTTGATACCTAAGTGGAACAGGAGGTGAAGGGAAGCAGTACCCAGCCAGCACTGCTGTGTGCCAGGCATTGTTGCTGCTTGATGTGGCAGTAATTCTAAGTGCTAGGGACTGTGAGGACTGTTTTGGAGAGACACATTGAAGCTAATCTTCCTGACCCAAGGTGTAGCCCTCTCCACCCTCCATCCTGTGATATCCTCACCTAGGAAGGGGTTAAACAAGAAGAAGGGGCTCCCCTCCCTTTGACACTGTCCTTCCAGTACTTCCATTTATGATGGGGCTACTTCGTGTTCTCGCTTTGTGTAAGTCTGGCTACTTGAGGTTGAAGGTTAGGCAGAAGAGGGCTGGCAGCATAAGTTATTTTACTCCAAATCTAGCCAAGAACACACTTTTCAAAGTCAGATTTTCCTGAGTTCAAAGCCTGGCTTGTTCATTGCCGGAGCGAGGGGCAGTCGCTTCACCCTTTTGAGTGCCCGCTTTATTCCAGGCTCTGGTCCCAACACTGGGCACGTAGAATGAACAAAACCAAGTTTCATGAACAGTTGAGCTTTTGTTCTGTTGGGCAAAGGCATCCAGTCAGCAAATGAATACATATCTCAGATGGTGGTAAGAGCCACTAGGAAGAGACGTCGGGGGAAAGAATGAGACAAAGTTTGGCGGGGTGGAGGGTGGAGGGGTCAGATATCATGTCTCTGATGGAGTGGCATCAGACAGAAATAGGATTCCCCTGGGACTGCAAAGACACGAACTTTGACCATTCTCCCAGGTCCTTAAACTCATTCCTCAGTAAATTAATGGGAAAGCAAGCAGTGTGGTGAGGAATTCAGGGACCTTTGACTAGGACATGGGTGTTAAAGAGACAGAGGACTTAGCTTTGGGGATGAGTCCCTCTCTTTACCTATTTACTGAATAGTCACTGGAGGTGGAATCTTATGTCAGCATGTAGCAGTCCCAGACGCTGAAGGAGGAACCCTGGGTAGGGTTATAGGAATGTGTCAGCTTACTGGAAAAAAGACGCAACATAAAGAAATATATCTTCTCCCTGCGTCAAGAGACTTGAGAGCTCAGTTGTATAGTATCAGCTT